GGCCTCTTTGCGGGGCCTCCATCGGCGCCGGCCCCGGGCCTGCCGGCCGCTGCCCAGTGAGGGAGAACCGAGCCCCCGTCCCTCCCACTTCCTGAGGCACGGACCAGCGCCTGGCTCCGCCACTTCTCGTCCTCGAGGTAGCGCTCAGGCCAAGCACTTCACCTCGGGCCGCCTGCAAAGCACAAAGGACTGGCGGCACGCTCCGGTCAATGTAAAACCATTTTTTAATTCTAAATCACTTTCACAACAGTGAAAATTAGTGAACAGTAATGGTAATGCACTAAACAAGCCATTATGGGCTGTGTGCAGTCTGAGTACAAGGGGGCGAGTGGTACGATACAAAAAGCACACCAAGAAAAAGGTAGGAATGAAAGCATTAACACTTTTAGACTATTTCATTCTTGGATTGCCAGAAAATAACGACTCTCAGTCATGTTTCTGCAGCCACCTCCATCTAAGTTCATTATGTCTTTCACCAACAGACGAAAAAAACCCCAAACCATTAAAATTCAGTATTTTCAAACATTAGTGTTAGTTAAATCAGGTTCGATACCTCCTGGACCTATGACAGTCATTCTTCTGTCCTCTTTATCAGAAAAAGGCTTTAAAGGGATACCCTGCTCCTCCCTGGATAACATCTGCTCTTAGCATCGAGTTTCTCAATGCGAAAAGGAAATCCATCCGTTTTGCTATCACACGAACTTTCCCGTTTCCTCAGCAGGTGGTGCTGCCTGCTCGCGAATGAAGCCAAAGCTGCACCGCGGTACCACAGCCGTGAGAACGCAGTGAACAGCCTTTCTCCTAGGAAGGGCCCTAGCCGCCAAGTTACGCACTTGAGAAGAACCATACGCAGAAGTAGTTCAGGTTCTCAGAAGTGCCACACGACAAAAGCTGAAGCACCACTTCAACTTTTTCTAGCTGAGCAATATATTCTGCCAGATTATCGTCGAGTCAGGTATGAATTTGACCAGATGTGGCAAAAGACGGCAGAATCTTTGCAATATTCTACTTGCCAGATGGAATTTTGGAGGTAGGCAAGTTAAACTTCAGTCATCCTCTGTCTTGATACTAAAAGTGAACAGTTTATAATTACATAAATAAGCTTATACGACAATGACTGTGTCCTGCCCAGAAACCTCATCCATACACTAGCAAAACCCCAGCTCTTGAAACAAGTTTCTATGAGTTGATTTGTTTTCAGCTGTCTGTCTATTGCCAGGGAAGTCACAATATTCATCTTGCAGGAAATCATGACTATCAGCAATCTGAATCAAAATAATCTCAAAACAGTAAGAGAAAAAACATGGAATTGCCTAGTCGGAGAAATACAAAACCTGTTCATCTTGCTAGGGAATCTCACATCTGCTGTTCTGAAGGCATCTACACAAACACATCAGGAGTACTCTTTAAAGCTGTATACTCAACAGGATTCCAAAATGGCTACAGAGTGCTCACCTTCTGAAACATCTTCCTCTTGGCACATAAATGGTTGTGGTCTCCTCCAGCACTTCAAGTGAATATCTTTGGTAGATACCGCAGAGACTCTTGCACTAAAGCCATTCTGCTGTGGCACGGAGTAGCTGTATGCACCTGTGGAGAGAAGCTCTGCCAAACGTTCCCCACTGTGGCATGTGTTAGCAAAGGCAGGATCTCATTTTTCCTCCTGTATAATTTTACAGTATGACAAGTTTAACCTCAAAACTCAGGTAAAGATGCCTTGTGTTCCTCTCCCCAAACAAGCTGATCTCAGATCTGTAATAGGATTTTATTTGGAGTACAGGACCGTGTGCAGAAAGTCTCAAAGCCTTAGGAAGAATAAATGTAGCTACAGTGACGGGGTTGCGAGGGGATTATCCGTGAGTGCAGCCACGGGCTGCTGCGCAGAACCGAGGAAGACAACACTGTTTGTCAGTGAGGAACTGGGCTGGGCGAGGCGGACATCTCCGTCTTACTGTTCAGTAGCCCCACCCAGCTCCATGATGAGAGAATCTTCCAGTGTCTGGCTCCAGCAAATTCAGGCTTTAAAAAACTGCAGCATAAATTTGTACCCCTTCTTCTAACAGTGACTACAACTGCTTCAGGAGGGGTTTTCCAACACGCTGGGAAATCACACGAAGAAAAGAAACCAGTCTCCAAACCTGGTTCCATTTGCATCACGTGCTGTGCCCAAAGAGTCTCAGCAGTGCTGCAGATGATCTCCTGAAGGAAGTCGGATGTTGATGCGAGGAAATGACAGCCGCAGCTCCGGTAGATCCATCGTGGTTGCCAAGCATGAGATACTGATCACACTGCAGGAGTTTCTTTACCTGCCCTGTCTACCTTGGGGCAACTGTCTTTCACATAAACCTGGTGTCACCAATTGGCACAGGATTTCAAAGCAGCGCTCCTTTTAGGAGCGCAGCCCAAAGCTAGGCCCGTGGTTTGTGGCAGGAACCTGCTATACAAGACAGCTGAGCTGAAATATGCTCTTTAACCACTGTTTAATTTTCAACTGTGGTGCAATGGTGAGATTCCTTACTGTGCTGTGGCACCACCAATTCCTGAAGCCCATAGTTAGCTACGGAACCAGACACCAAGAGGTTTAAAATGGGATAGGGATGCAGTTTTTAACTGTTTCAGTGGCCTTTTTGGCCATGAATATACAGAATAATGGAAAAGATTTATGCAATCAACAGCCAGAACATTATCACCAGAGCCACAAACAGGAAGAGGCGGGATAGGAACTGCTCATCCACGTACTGAGGAGTCCCTGGAACAGCTGGAAAACAAGTAAAGAAAAACAAAAACCACAACAGTTCAGCTTCTTCCTCTTCTCCAGAATCACATATATTGTGAACAGAGTACATTCATAAATTGAAAGATATGCAAGGAATCTACTTGGTGAGAAACTGTTGCTATTTCCTACCCTCAGACTGGCCAGCCATACTGGAAGATCAGCTCCTTGAAGCAGGCCTCTTGGTAAACCTGCTCATGACTAACAGCAGCTCCCAGCGCTAGCGTACAGGCAGGTCTGCCCAGACTGCTTCTGGGGCAGTGCTGGGCCAAGTTCACTGCTCACTTCACTGCTCACTGCTGAGCTAAGTTCACTGCTTCCATCCCAAGGACCTTTACCACCTCCACCTGAACTCTCCTCTCCATCAACGTAAAAAATCACTGCATAAGGAAATAGGAGAACGACCAAAGCTGCGTGTGCAGCCTTGAACAAGAGAACTAATGAAAAGCACATGAGCTCTAAAGCTCAAGCCGTGCCTTTCTGCCACTGCTGTATTGAACCTACAGATGAAAAGCAGATAAAGAGGTTGCTTCAATTACAGCTGTTACGGCAGCATATTTACATACTCCTTAGCTCAGTCACACCTCCACACAAATTTTCAGTGGACATTAAAGTACAGTTAATAGGCAAGTTAATTTGACCCAAGGACAGCACACGTCCTCGGCAACACAGCTGTGACACGGAGAACACGTCTCTGTTTCTCATAATTCCTATGCCGTATGGCACGGTGAAGTAGGTTTGCCAGGCACCACCTTTCACAGAGGACGTCCAGAAAATCCTGGGCAGTAGGTTTTCTTGTTCAAAACAGATAGACTCGGTTTGACTCCAGTGCAGACGGGGAGGAGGTTTTCTGGGAATTACTTCATTTTTGGATGGCAAGGCCACTACTTGGAGTAACCCAACAGTTTTTTCTTAATTAAAAACAGTGAAGTAATTTCACCAGAAAGTTACTTCTTGTAGAATATAGATGATTGTCTCAAAGCTAAATTTCTGAAAAAGGAACAATCTTTGCTGTCGTCATTTTGTGGTACAGAGCACCAGTTTAAATTTCTCCTCATCTTTCAGGAAACGGTCCTGTCCTGCTGTTTTCAAAATACGGGTCTCCTTCATACACCCCTACCGACTCCTTGTTCTTATTAGAAACTCTAGTTCAATTTGTCTCAGTTTTCAGGAGTCTGCTGGAATACCAGAGGAGACATCTGAATTAAAGAGAACTGTCCAGTGCCACTATCCTCCCAGGAGGGCCTTCAGCAAACCATGTGGAAGTGACAAACATGTTTCTTGTAAAAGCACTCGTACCAAACTTGTAGTCACCGATTATGTTCTCTGCTGGGTGTTTTTCCTCATTTTGTTTCTATTTACAACAGTGATTTACTCTGCTGTTCAGAAAGTTTTGCCATTTAGCAGGCTATTTGTTTAAAAGTTACAAGGGAGTTTGTGAAACCTCTGTTTGTGACAGGACTCTCAAGAGAGGATGGGATGCACGGTACCTGGAGGAGGCCGCCCGTCATTTATGTTGAACGCTGTTGCAAATATACCAAAGGGAAACGCCCCAATTCCAAATGACATTTGGAAGCCACCATCGCCAAACCCAAAGCCCTGGAATCCCTGCAGAGAACAAAGCAACAGAAGAGGAAAATGGTAAGGATAATTTAAATCCTATTTCTGATTATCTTGCAGAAGTGCAGAGATGCCCTCTCACTGGCTTTCCCACAGCTGAAGGAGTATCGCGGTGTCTGGCAACTTACAGTCTGCCAAATTATCGTTAAACACCTCCTTAGTTCTGCTTTTAAAATGTTTCACATAGTACTAAACCTGCCAGAGCAACCCAGAAGTTTGAGAAAATGAAAACCAGGAGCCACAGTTCTTGCTTGAAGGCCACAAATTAATGAAAGTTTCTCTCTTAACATTTCTCAACTTAAAGTAGTCTGTATCTGACAATATATCAAAATCAACATTACCAATTCTATTTAAAATATATTATCAACGTATTAATAACTCTGTATTAACACTTATTAGCCCTATCACTATAAGAAAGGCATTGTAAAGATTAATCTGCATTGATTTTCACTATGCATATACATCATTTAAACATTCAGTAACATGACAAATTGCCAGTGAGATGCATAGAGCATTACAGAGAACAGTACCAAAAGAAATAAATTACCAGGGGGGCTCTAATTAAGGTGTCAGATAAAGGCATCTGGGGCAGGAATGGAAGACATAAGGAAAGGAGGAAAAAAGGAAGAGTTACAATGGGATCCCTATGGGATCCAGACTAAAATACCACATCAAGTCAAAAGAGAAGTCTTCTGAATCAAGATGAATCCTACAGCATAAAAGCAGTGTACTATTTGAGAACCAACTGCATATGAATCTGAGGAGTTGTGTCATGTTCAAAAGCTGTGGAGAGCTCACAGTCACCGTGTTCTGTGATCCAGCAAACCATGCTCTTGTCTCAGAATTAACAGCGATAACAGTTCTGAAAACCCCTCTGGTCTATCGCCTCTGAACAGTGGGAGGACAAAGGTGATTTCACTCCTGTAATAGGAGCCAGACATTTCTGGGTTGATCTTTGAATTGAGGAGTTAAGTCTTTTGACTGTCCTCAAGCATTCTGCCATTAACTGTCAGGGACAGCAAAGCGCTCCCCATGGCAGGTCCTGCGCTTGTAGGAAACAGGAGGGCAGCATCACTGCTGCTGTGTACTCATACCAGATTCCCCTGACTTATGGCAGCACCTGCTAAAAGGTTCAAACAAGGTATAGCAGCTGATTCAATAAGAAGGCAACTCCCTAGGAAGAGAGACCAACTGAGCTCCCAATGCATTCAATACAGAAATGTTCCTTAATCACATGCAGCAGAGTTGTTTGCTTGAAGCACGAGGTACACAAATGCTCTCTGAGGACCCCGGGCTGCGTTACATGGAAACGTGCAATTGTTTCATCAGGTCACAGTCACTGCCATCGTGCCAAAGATCACTGTGGTCTGTTCTGTTGGCTACTCCCACATCTGTTCAACCTATGCCAGCTGCTGTTTACATTCACTTTATGTAATCTCCTCAACAAAACCACAGATCCCTCTTCCAATTAGCTTGTGCCCAACAGATACCTACATTCTTTTGCTTGTAATGCCATAGTACAGTGAAATAGTACAGTACATCCCATAGAAGTGCTAGAAGCAGGTGACAGTGCCAAAAAAGTTCCCACATGGATTATGTATTTCCATGACAGATACAGAGTTTGACAGAAATATACTTCCATAAAGAATTTTCAAAGCAAAGTGTTCCTTGTATTTACACATGGAGAACAATCAAGCATGAAAAGCATTTCCAGTGATGGCACACAGGGCTGTTTTCATGAAGCACAATTCAAGTTAGCCCACTCTTTGGAGCGCTAAAGAGTACTGTAGGGATGCAGTTTTCTGCCACACCACAGCCGTCAGCTACTCACAAACACCCTGCTGGGGATGAGCAAGACATGTAAGCTATAGGATCCTCACACAGGATCTCATGCATGCGTTACATTCTCCAGGGTGAACAAATACCACCATCAATAAAAACAACTCATCTGCTCAAGCTTGTTTCTTCACTTACCCCTCTGTTCTCTGGTTCAGGTCGTTGTCCTTGGGGTCGTGGCGGAGTTTTCTCTCTGCAGGAAGTTGTGAAATGAGCTCAAGTGCAAGGATACATGACAACAGTATGTGCAATAGCCTGGCTAATAAGACAGAACAAACACAGGGCCATGGTGCAGCAGGGCCGGAGGCAGTGTGTGAGCAGACCACCCGGCTTATGAACCTTCAGCATCACATCACTGAACTAAGATACTGCACTTCTGAATAACAAAGTCCTGTTGCAAAGGCTAGAAACTGAAGACACGAGCATTTGATATAAGCTTCTCCAATCAGATAACATTCGTTGCAACCTGCCACTTGTAACTGATAACTAACTCCCAAATAAAATTAAAATAAACTGCCACTTGAACAAGAAACAAGGTGTGCAAACCTGGGCCCTGAAAAAGCCAGAAATACGTAGCAGAAATGTCAGTTCTATCTGTCTTTTGTCCTGTGAATCCAGGACTTTGACAGTTTCATCTTAAGCCCTTCAAACAAAGTTTCATCTTTAGTTTTCACACAGAAATAGTTGTGTTTAGGTTTCTTACCTGGGGTCCTGTTGCCCAGTGCTACCTCTTCCATACAAAGGAATAACTTTATCTCGACTGATTCCTGCTTTGCACACAGGACACACTTGTCTGTTTGGCCTAGTCTCTAGCCACTAAAAGAAAGGAAATTATAAAAAAACCAGTAAAACACCATGAAAACAACAACATGCAAACCTCATTTGCAGCTGAAGAGAGACTTTAGTGACTTCTCAGAAAGCCACGGAGCAAAACATCCTAATAAGTGCCAAGCACCCTCCAAAGTGGAGTTGGCATTTTGGCCGTTCTGGCACAATCCGCTTCCTGATGTGTACACATTCAGAACAGCACTGGAGTAAAACACGAAGAAATAAACAGTACCAACAGTCCTGCATAGGCCAAGGGCTAGTGCAGCTACCCTTCTTTCAGCAATCTTTTCTAAAACGGTACCACAATGTAAAACACTACCTATGCCATCAGAATGACACTCAGCACGTAAGCCTGCAAACTGCCTGCAGTGATCCTCCTACCAAAACAGTGACTACTCGGCGTTTAAAGAGACTCAAAAGTGGGAAGCAAGTGGAACAGAATCTAAGTTTTCTTTCTGCTGAAAGAGCAAATTGCAAGGTGGGGCACATGAAGTTGCATTAGCAGGTTGTGACTGCCCTGGAGAGAAGCACACTTGAAAAGAGGGGCATACTCCAGAGAACCAAAGGCTTTATTGAGTAACAGGAGCTGATGAAAGACAAAGTAAAAAGAAACCTGGCTTACCTGGTGTAAACAAGGCCAACTGCGAGCATTCCCAGGACAATTTGTTCACAGAGCAGAAAAAGAGGGGAAAACAGAATTAGTTACTGACAACTCAATCCAACAAATGTCTGAGCGTACCACGGACAGCTTGGAGGCAACAGAATGCTGGAATCCAGCTGGGCCAGTTCCATAGCCTCCCATTAAAATTATTTTAATTGAGGTCTTTTTGGGTTATGCAACTTAAGTTGTAATGTGGTTCTCTGCATATCACCTTTGATTCCCAGGTCCTCATCCATACCAAAAGCCCAAGCAGAAGCTTAATTAATCTTAGTGTTTACTGCACAGATTTTCTCTTCTGATACCATGAAAAGATATTCCTGAGCTATGACGCAAACGAGGGACATGTCAGTAACGAGACTTTGGGATCTTAAAAGAAGTCATGGAAGGGACATTTGGTTAAAACATCAGCCACATTCAGAGCCACAGAATAATTCTGGCTGGATAGTACTTCAGGTGGCTTCTAGTCCAACATGACGCTCAGGGCAGGGTCAGGTACTGAGAGCAGACCCAGCTGCTCAGGGCAGAGAAATTCCCATTACACAGAACCACTCTTAAAAAGAAATAAATGTGGCAACGTAAAAAAGGTCAAAGAAAACAAGTAAGCCATGAGACAGATCTCCTAAGCAGCCATCTGCTTTCAAAGAGGCCCCGACACTATTCAGACAAGATGCATGCTATTTTTAAGGTTCCATTCCTCCAAATCCTTTAGTGCAATAATTTAACCTAATTTTACCTTAACATGCTATCAGCAAGTGATTTTCCATCTCCTCCTAGAATGAAAACCTGGATTTTCAGATGTTACATACATTTACACAGAAAATAAATGCTCTTTTAGGCCTCTCTTTGATAAAGAGCATAATTTAGCCTAGTGTGTAAAATAAACCAGAAAAAAACCCAAACATTTGGCCACGCCAATCCTTAATAGCTTCTCAACATTCAAGGAAGACTGTGTTCTAGACCAAGTTTCTCAAATAAGAAATGCTGCGTGTTCATTGTATTTGTGCAATACATTCCCAAGCCAGATCGAAGAATTGATGAGGCTGCTTCTGTGTTTGCTTTTATAAAATAATTCAGAAGTTTAGGAGGTGCAAGATGCAAGAAACCCACTCCTTGGAACATAAGCAAAGAAAAACAGTTGAGGAGCAAAAAATCAAACTGCTCCTAAACCAAAACCGTGGTCCTTATTTATTTTATACAAGACATTTTATTTGACATCTAGAATTATAAAAATCATTGCCTTTCATGTGATCAGAGAGAGATGTGGTGCTCTGGTTTGTCGGGGGAATGCAGGGGGCGCGAGTACTCACCAGAAGAGGTGTCCACACAGGCTGATAACTGCATCCTTGGCAGTGTCTAAACAGATGTTACATTCAAAAGTGTTGTCCTGATTGGTATTGTCCCCAGTACCGTTACTGCTGCTGCTGCCACTGGTCCCTCCCGTACTGGAGTTCTTTGTTGATGCAGAAGTCGTGGGTCCTTTGCTGGCCATCCTCGAGAGCTACCCAGACACGAGGTCAAGAAAATCGTCCTGCTGGAATCCTAGCAGTGAGAAAAAGGGAAAACAACAAACAACTTCTTGGCATTGTAACATGGCATCCTCGTCCTGTTCCAAACTGGCAGTGATTTCTCTAAGAAGCACTGAATCCTATTGTTGATGGTTTTAGTTTAACTTAGCCAAGAGGGATCTTTTTTTAGAAGCTAAGCTACTTTAAAGTCCTGTAGTATGACCTGGCTGATATGTGACCTGTACTTAAGTTACTGATAAGCAGCTGAGATCCACAGCCAAAACAAAATCATCGTATTTTCTCACAAATGCCATTTGCTGTACGGAGAATGAGCTCACCTGGTCACACACGCTCTTCAAAAACTGAGTGCAAGTCAGAAGAGTGAATGCAGCCTGAAACAGGATTTAATCATGAAGCAATCCACAGTTTGGACAGACTGACTTAACACACGGTTTTAAGTTGAACGTTCATTAGTTTGGAATATTAATGATAATAACAGCAAGCAAAGGTGGCTCAGGACTTGACTTGTCTCATCAGCAGTGTATTGCTGCTATCACAGCGCTGTGCTGATACAACTATCAAACACTTCTAGTACTTTCAAACTATTAAACAGTGCTAATCCAGTAGTAATGAAGTACCAAAACTTTTACTTTACTGTGCTTTCATTTTACTTACATGCTTTCACCTCTCATTAACATAATTTTATTAAAGAACATAATTTATTTTATTTCAGTAGCAACAACCTCTACAGTCTAATTCCTTGATGTGCAAATTCCACAGTACCTAAAACTTTGAAACTCGGCACAAAGCCTTTACATTTCCAGAAACAAACATTTTTACCAGTACAAGATTTTTAAGTACAAGAACCAAGAGAGTTTCAGCAGTTACAGAAAGTAATTCGTCAAAACAAAAACATTTAAAATATTCCACTGTGCTTTTCATGAAACTCCGACATCCTGTTGCTGCTGCAGGATATGAATCCTTAGATAAGGCTGTGAGAAAGAAACAGGTGATTATCTGAATGTTTTGCGAGTGTACAAACAGTCAAGCATTTTAACAGAGCAGCCTGAATGTTTCAGAAGTTAATTAATTTGCTAACTTACCCCACAAGCATTAAAGGCTTTCCTTAGTGTTCCCTCTTTGTAGCAGTGCTGAAGCACAGGTGCAGGGCAGCAAAATAAAACCTCAGTAGCCCTAGCTGTTATTGTCAACAGCTTTTTCATACAATACAAGCCCACTGCACGGTCAGGAAAGCATCCTACTCAAACCTCACGAAGGTCCTGCAGCAAGGCCACTCAGTTACAGCAAGTGAAATCTATTTTCGCAGAGCTTTTTCACTCAGTTGCATCATTTTGCACAGCGTCCCAGAAGGGCAGCTTTGTATTCACAGATGCTGTACTTGAACATGCATTGCTTTCAGCTCTGCTGACTCTTAGCATTTCACACCATGACTTCATTTACACTCGGCAGCAACACAGCCCACTGTACAAAATTAACATCCACGTTAGTTCAAGGCAGATGGAAATGCTGCCAGCCCACAAACTACACGCTACACACTTGGATTTCTCACACATCCTTACTACCACAATCCTCAGCCTATCTTGCTCAATGCTTTAATGCCTGAAAACTTACCAACTTGGACCTATATATATTTGCTGGGAATTAATAGCAAAGTCAAGAAAACCGCCTTAAAAACTAAGGAGTTCAACACATTGTAATAAACATTAGCGTCACTTTATGGAATGGGCACAAGAAATGTCTGGTGCTCATATCTTGGCATACAGCACAAGAGAAACATGCAGAAGAGGCAAGCAAATTAATTTCTGTGTCCCTAAAACCCATGTGGGAAAAAAGGTCCTTTTTTCCAAATTATGTTCCATATATTTAACATCACGGATCTGGAGACTTCTCAGAAAGATGAAATCTGTATCTTCACAAACACCTATTTAAAAAACCTGTAGTTTTTAGTAACTATCAAAAACAAAGAAACCATTAAGTTATGAAGGATGACAGCGAAATCCACAGACGTATCAGTAATGAAATAAGGATGGCCGAGACAGAAGGAAGATCAGGATGATGTAACGCAACAGGCACTGAACCTACTCTCCTAGAGGGGGTAATTCCTTAGTCTGTACTGGGATCCTCTCCTAATTATTTCTCCATAGGCTGCTTAGGCCTGACGACCTATCAGGATATAACCAATTTAAAATACCAAAACCACAACACTACAAGTAATCAGTCTTATTCTGAAAAGCCTTCTCAAACATTTGCTCTCGTCTGTGGCACACTGCTTAACGTAACTAGGTCTGTAGTAAGTGCTGCTGGGGTCTGTTCTTCTGCAGATCAACTGCACGTATACAAAGGAGCAAACGTGAAACAACGCCTGGAGTTACAGCTGGTAATCCTCTATCGTGTCACTTGTGGACACAGCCTGAGAAGCCTGTAGGAGAAGTTCAACTGCAAATTGAACTTGTTCTGCTTGCAGAACAAGATCAAAATTGTTGAAATGTCACTTGAACTACTTAAACTCTGAGCGAAAACTTTAAGGGAAAAAACCCAACAAACCACAAACTAAAAACAAACAAACAAAATCAAACAGACCAACAAATTGCTCCCAAACCCAAACACCACACCAGGCCAAACCAATCCCTTTCTGTTTTGATTTGGAGCTCAGAAGGACGCGGGTGAGTACAGTGGTCTACAACACAGCTTCTGGGGTTAAGTAAACGGAATTTAGAGATGCCAGTCCAGGTCTGCTAAGCCCCTGTCCTTTAGATTAGGTCTCCAAACCAACCCTAGACACATACTGAGCAGCAAACAAGTGAAAGGATACGAAAATCAGCTGTGATCTCACTGGAGCATCCCAAGATTTTATCTTTTTCTTGCTTGCTTCTTTGCTCTCCAGATATTTACAGGAAAACAGTATCTTTGTTATTTAAAAGCCCTCTATATTAGCTGTTTATTTCCTCTAAATCATGACCCCTATGGTATCCCAACAGGTTGTTCTGGAAATGACTGAATCTCTGACAATTTACTACATCCAGCAATCAAGATAGGCAACAGATTAACAGTTACGAAACAAAGAAGCCATTTTCAAGTAGTCTTCCTACATAAAAAAGTCCGGTGGAGCGTGAAGAAGACACGGAAGTGAAGATCCACGTTTAGGGATCCAGCACAAATCCTACTGAGCTGTGTAAAGGATAAGCATGGCTGAAAGAGTCGGTGAAACCGCACCTCTGAGAGGCACAGTGGGACCTGGAAGTTTCATGACAAGAGCACAGGAGGTCCATGAAAGAAGTAGGAGCAGGAAACTGGTACATTCTATGCACTGTGTATAGGTACTGTGTATAAACCTCTCTAACAGGCAACAAGAAATACGTTTTACTCAAATACTTTAAAACCTAGATCTATAAATCTAGGGGGAGGAACTGCATACCAGGAAAACACGAGCCCAACGGCTACCGTCAAAGATCACGTTTCTGAACTCAGCAAATGAAAAGTGACCGCAGTTGCCAAAGTACACTGACCTGACTCTGAACATACAAGATAAACACTTGGAAAACTCCTCAGGTTGTTTTTCTTATCGCTGCAGTGACAATGTCATTTTTGGACACATATGACAGATTCTATAAAAGAATGTTAACATTACAAATTCAAACTAAATCTCAAAACCTTTCTCGGAGTTTCTATAAATATGTCCACTCATAAGTCTAACAAAAACCTGATTCTAAACCTATGACAACTGCCAGGACTTCAGGCACAACAAACAGGGAACCTTAACTGATTATTGTCGACAGTGCCATGAAGAAAGTACGTTTACTTCTTGACAGGCACTTTTAGATATTCTTAGCATATATGTGACTGAAGTCCTGCTGTTCATAACACATTTATCTTCTTTTTTTTAAGTGTCTCCCAAACATCTCACATTACATTTACTCAGAAACATTTCTGGAGGTTCATCTTTTCACTTCCTGTCACCCATACAGCAACCTGTACCTGCTTTTTAGTATCACCAGAAAGTGGTCCCAACATACAAGTCTGTGTGACCACTTGTTCTTGTCAAACCAGCCGTTTGCCTTGCGGACCAAAGTGCCCTTGCTTGGCCTCATTTCCTTAATTGGGATTCTGCAATCTACGTCTGTGTTACAGTTGCTGCTTCCAGGACAGGAGCCCTGCTGCAAGGCTGTCCTGGCCACTCTGAGGGTTCGCTGTACCTCACAAATGCCAGACGTTGTTACAAACTACCAAAAAAGCAAGGGATTAAAGTAATTCTTCTTTTTAACCATTCCATAAAAGTATAATACAGACTCCAAGAAAACGTTGCTCAAATCTTTAGACAAATCAAGTCTTTATCTCATCAAGTCCAAAGGAAAAAAAAAAAAGGCAAACTGATATAACCAGTTGGGTAATACTGCCTGAGCATTCTCCTGGCTTGGAGTTGCACATTAAACATTAAATGCCCTTAAGCCGGCTAACCACGTTAGCATCAAAACGTACCAATAAAATAAAACAAGATAGTTACGAGGTGGTTTAAGAATAAGCAATTCCCAACAGAAAAAAAAATTAAAAAGGCATATACCAGAAGCTGACGCTTTGTGACCATACCTAGAGCCAGACATTTATCTAAGGCGAAGCTGCGCTTCTCCTCGCCGAGGGCTCCAGCTCTGCCGCTGGGTGCGGGGGCCAGGCACCAGCAGGCCGCTAAAACCGGGGATTTCGAAGCAAACCCGTGGCAGGCAGCGCTGGGCCCTGCACGCCGCGGCGGCGAACTCCGGGCCGCAGCAAGGGCGGCGCACACG